CTCATAACTCGTAAAATGTCGTTTGTTTGGAAACATGTGATCTGAGCAGCAACTGTCCAGAAAAATAAGAGAGGAATTTTCCTGAACAGCCATTGCTTGAGGATCGGTGACACAAACATAAACTCCACTGATGTTTTCAGTTCCGACAGAGTTAGCCTTTTTCTTCGGATTAGCTTGACGTTTCTTGTAAGATTCGGGTGCTTTCTCCGGATGCAATTGAAAGCAGTTAGATTTTGAGTGTTTCGCGTTATCATTGTGACGACCACCTTCACAGTAGACAATTGTTGTTTTCAGAGCGGATTCAGACTTGATAGCCGGCACATCAACGGAGTTCGACGGGGTACCGGTGGAACTTAGTTGTTTTGAATTCAAATAAGTACGAATCGTGCCAATGTCTAAAGGTCGTTTCGTGTAAATGATCTCTTTAGAGTTCTCTAGTTTTTGAGGTAAGAGATTGACAATATACTCAGCAAATAACGTTTCGTCGATCGTAGTCTTGTCCATCTTGACAATCTTGATACCAACTGAGCGAAGATTTGAAATACCAATGTCGATATCCGAGATGAATTGCTCGAGCGTTGAAGTGAATCCAATGTTTAAGAAATCACGATATACTACGGCATGATTTTGAGAAGTGTCTGATTGAAAATGATCGATCAGAGCCTTCCAGATAAGATGAGGTTCCTTCTTGTTCTCATCGGTAATGAATTTGGCGTAATTTTCTAAGCCAAGATTTCTTCCAAGAATTCCAGCAGCTGCAGCTTTCTTGTCTTGAAGAGTAGTTTTAGCCACTGCATCCTTTTCATTCTTTACCAAGTCAGAAAGTAAATGATCGTCCAGATTTCTTTCAAGACAGTAAGAATACATTATGTTCTTCCAATTTTGAAAGTTGACCTTGGTAAGTAAGGGAAGATGGTGAATCGATTTATCGGTCATTGCGTTGAAAAACTTGTGTTCGATGAGGTTGCAGATTAAGCACAATCTGGGCTCATAACCTAATGAACAACGAGCTTTAACAAGATGGTGATATTAGTGTCTAAACGACAACGACTAATATGACCTCGCAGATAATCACAAACCTTTAACAAGATGGTGATATTAGTGTCTAAACGACAACGACTAATATGACCTCGCAGATAATCACAAACCTGAAGTTTAAGGTTGAGGTTAGTGAGAGAACGAGTTGGAGTTTGATGAAACAATTGATTGATTGATTTCATATACACACCTTTAACAAGATGGTGATATTAGTGTCTAAACGACAACGACTAATATGACCTCGCAGATAATCACAAACCTAGACATGAAGAGAGAGTTGAGATGTTAAGAAGACAACAACATGATCTGACTTTTTAATAAGAGAAACGAACCTGAAGTTTAAGGTTGAGGTTAGTGAGAGAACGAGTTGGAGTTTGATGAAACAATTGATTGATTAGAGAAAAGTACCGGTACAATGAAAGTAAGGTAATTATAGTCAATCAACTAGGTTTTGAGCTACAACTGCTGCGCTAATGATAATTGTGTATATGAATAAAGTATGCTTAAAATACGAGAAGAATAAATAAATAACTAACTTAAAAGAGAAAGTGATAAGTAAAACCTTTTAAGTTCAACATGCCCATTACTAGCCTGTCGTCTCTTGCCTCAGATGTCCCACTGCATGACTCCATGAAGTGTACAATCTGCTTAGAGGAATACACTTGCAGCGATGAAATTGTGGTACTACCATGTCACCCAACGCATCACTTTCACGTATCCTGTATTCATGTGAGGAGCCTTTCTTTTATTCACCTCTTGTGCTTCACATCTGACTTGATTTTGCATCCTACAGGGCTGGTTACAAAGTTCGTTCCCTGGACCCCCCACCTGTCCAAACTGTAGGGCCCTAATTCTCTTCCAGAACCACACAGCCCTTCCACCTCAATCTGAATAAGCTCCTGGTGGCCAAGCTTCACCAATAGTGTTAGATCATCATCAATCTAAATCATGTTTTGCCAACGAGTTAGCATTCCCTGAAATACAATCAGCGTTACTATTATGTTTGACTTGATTCACCTTGAGAATTTTATGATGCTATATTCAACAAGAGTACCCTCTCTGGGCTCCCCAATCTGAGTCTTCAATAAGTTCCACCTGCTCATGATGTTTGAAACCCAGTTTACAGTGTCAAGATTGCCATGTGAACCTGGGTAACCGCAGCGTGACCTATGTTTGTTTTTTACTCAAATTCAGATACCCGGACCCAGACACAGCCCCCATAGGCGGGTAGCTGCCGTATGTGATGGGCTGCTCACGGGTGCCGGGTACCTGAAAATGGTGGCCGCTTGGTGATCGTTACCTTTGCTTAACTACCAGAATGTATTGAATAATGAAATATATATTTTTTTCCGTTGGCAGGTATGATACAGTTTGGTCCTGATAGTTGCTCCTGGATGAATACTTCTGGTATTCTTCCTAGTTAGTTTAATAAAACCAAAATTGACCAATATCAAACCCACAGGACCAGTTGGAACCCATCATGATCAACATACCATGCCAAATATGCGGGCAATGTGTTTGAAAGGAATGCTGTCCTTTTGACCATCCAAAGATATTTTCATCCAGGGGGAAAGGTGAATTAAATCCATACTATGAGAAATTTCCTCCTAAATCAGCCAACAACTCACCCCATGAAATCATATCAGGTTTCCAGATTTTTACCTCATATTGATTTTGAACCAAAGCAATCAATTTGTTGACCAAAATTTCCATCTATTAGTATTGATGAATAGGTTTCCAAAAATAATTTAAACTGATAGAGGCTAAAATTTTATCTCAGACCATTGATTTTCTCTTGTCTTGGATGATTCTCTGTAAAAAAAACTGCTTATGGACACAGGCACCAAAAACCTGAAATTATTCCAAGACTCACAATAATGATCTGACAGTGAGAATAACATAGCCATTAGTCACTGAGTTTGATTAATGCAGGACTCAATGGAACTTGATTCCTGGAAAATTAAAAGCAGCATTGACAGATCCAAAACAACTCCCCTATTTGTAATCCTTCTTCCCAAACCCTTGTAGTTCTGTCTATAAAATCTATGTTCTTCATTTCAAGCCAAATTTCCTATGCCAATAATTTTGAGCATTGTCATCTATTTAACAAAATCTTATCCCTTATATGTATCCTTCACAGCCAAAGGGATTTTACTGCTTACAACCCCCTGGGTAATGTTGGCTGGAGCCGGACAATATAACATACATCTTCCTGACAGATTTGATGTTGGCTGGGCCCACCAATGTGTGGCCCCTTTGTTGCAATGTGTTGGTGGGCCCAGCCAATATAAGATCGGTCCTGCCCTGGAGACCTATGTTATGTTGGCCATCTCCAGCCAACATTATTGCAAGGGGTTGTAACTGATAAAGCCCCTTTGGAAGTGCTTGCCTGTCTACATTTTATTTCTTCTCTAAGAAATTGGCCCACTTGAAAATCCTTGGACTAGCACTGGTTCTAACCCCTGAAATTGAGTTGCTGCACAAGAGTTTATTTTTATTTCCCCACATACAGGGGGGCATGCGTTGAGATTTGCCCCCATTGAAGGAAATCCTTCTGTTCAGTGAGATATTTGTACCTCTTTGATTGTAAGGAAATCTTTCCTCCAGAAAGACTATCTGCATGTTAAGTGGTAGCAACTCATCCCCCCCCCCAATGCATCAGGGGAGCTTTAGACAGGCACCTCCCTTAAAAACAAGAAGAAATCAGAACCAATTAGATGGCTGACTCCCAGGTCCAGCCATCCATCTGGAAAAACAACTCCTAACAACTGTCCGTTGATGGTTGTTTGGATTTAGGGGCTGGGAAATGGCAAGCACCTAAAAATGATCCACAAACACAAATTAAATGATATAGGACAAAGGGTACTTTATTTTAGACTCAAGCCTCTTTCACATTTTTTTTCTTGAGATTTCGATGCCAAGCAAACTCCTGTTGGTGGGTCCTTGATGTATTCTTGACCGGTGCTCATTTGCTATAATGAAATCTGAAATGGTTTATGCAGCTTGAGCTGTTTTTAATTGCAATTTTATGTGGTTCAGCTACCCTCTTTGTGGACCATTGGTATCAGAAGGTGCTTGACACTGATACATCAATCAGCCCCCATCTGGGTTCAAATCTCATTGTCAACAACAGTCACACCCAATATTTAAAACAGTCAATCTGTTCAGCAGCCCCATATACACAGCCACCCCGAACATGCATCACTTCAAGTCCAGTTGGATCTTCATAACCTTACTCCACACCTTGGTGCTTGGGACAGAAAAGGCTGAGATCAAAGAATGCCATGATGTCTCTCTCTGGAAAAGTGAGGAGAGAGAGCACCCTTGTGATGTTGAGTATTCCTGCTCATTTGGGAAACATGCAAAATGCGGTCAACTCCGGCCTGCACTAGTCCGTTATTGTACCAAGTGCAAAGAACACGAAGCTGTGAAAGCATACATGTTTACGGACAAGGGCTGTCCTAAAGAAAAACATGAATTAATTGAATGTGATCGTGCTAAATGGCATAGTACATGAGGTCAGATACTGGATTTGCTCTTGACCTGCAATTCCTAAAAACCACTACCAAAACATTTTTTTCTTTCCAATTATTGGAAACTGCAAAGAAGCATGGAACACTGTGCCTTTGTCTACATAGTACACTTGATTGTGCTAAATCGAGTTTTGAAGATTTTAAATAAGGTTTATTTGGAAGCTAGTTCTGTTTTGAGGGAGCTTAAATATTAGTCTTGATAGAAGACAAATGGAAACGTGATGAGTAGATACAAACTAAAAATGGTACAGACTTATCTAACAAGGGTCCAGGGAGATACAAAGTGAGAAAAACAGAACCCCAAGAAAACCAGTGTGGCAGGATACAAGGGCAGAACAAGAACCAACAGAAAAAAAAAGATGGCAGGGGACCAAATCAGGTTTACAAATCCAAAAAAGTTTGGAAATGTGAGCTTGAGAGTTGAGGAGAATCATGTAAGTCTCCAAGCTTAGAGCAGAGATGAATGGACCAGAGGAAAATCTTAAATAAAGCATCCAATGCTATGAAGACATATGGGAGACATGAAAAGGAAATATTCTTGATAATGGTGTATCAAATTTATGAATAGAATTCAATTAATTAAATGAATACAAAATGCAACCAACAAAACCTAAAACTTGGGTAAATAGAAGCCAACAGTAGATTTAGTAGTAGTAGCATTAGTAGTTGACGAAGAAGAAGAAGGTAGGATGAAATTCTTTCGAGCCCAAGAGAGCGCATAATGGAGCAAGATCAATTCCAGTTCCTCGACCTCATCCAAGAACTCGAGTTTCCTAATCCTATCCAACTCAGCACTCCATCTAGCCTTCCATCCTTCCGCCTCCCCCTCATCTGGATCTCCATCCTTTTGATTTCCTGCACAAGAACGGGTGCGTAAAGCCTTGATATCCGTACACACAATCTCCGTAAACCCATGCTCCTTGAACCGTTGGATCTGCGAATCTATCGACCGATTCGCTTCGAATCCCGCCATACTTAATCCTCGAGTCTATGTACACATATCCAACCCAATCAACAAAAGAGAAGAATCAGATTAACTGAGAATCAATGGCGAGGAAAAGCGAGACGCAGAGAGGGGAAGAGGAACTAACGGCAAGGTTCTGGACCATCATCTTACTGAAATTGTCTTCCAGATCGAGCGCCTCATAACAAATGATCATCAACGGACCACGGAAATAGTCGACCAGAGATTGCAGACAAGTATGCGTGTGGGTAGGGGATAAGTAAAGAAAGACGAGTTCGGCGATGATCAGGGTGGGTGTTTCAGGACATAGGAGCGAGTGTCCACTTGTGGTCGAAGTCGGATCGGGGCTGCTGAGTTTGGCGACCAGCTCCGTCGGCCGACGCAGGTCGGTTGAGAGTAGGGAGTAATGCGGACTATGGAGCTCGGTCGGCGGCCGATCTACACTACCACCTCAATCCTTCTTTCCTCTTAGAATCTTCTTCTTTTTTTGTGGTGTTTTCCGGGGAGATATAAAGAGAGAGAGAGAGAGAGAACTCACCGGAAGAAGACGTAGGGTCGGGGTCGTCGGACCTTAGCACGATCGGGTCCTCCCCACAGACTTGCCTCAGCTTTTCACTCGACACGATCTTTTCAATCTTGGTTGTCACTGTTGGTTGCAGATCGGTTTCGACCCATCGACCATTTGGCCACGTATTATTCTCTCGATCAAAGCGACTCTTGAGACGCCAGAATCGACTATCACTCCCTGCGCCTAACGAGAGCACTTGTTTCGTCGTTGCTTCTCCTTCTTGTTCCTGTTGATTGTGATCGGGTGGGCCTAAGAAGCTGGAGACTAGCTCGTCGATCAGGTATGTTCGATGATGCGTTCCTATGTTCACCCATGGTGGTCTTCTGATCATCATCTCTTGACTCCCCCCGTATTGACAAGACATCAACAACTCCGCATATTCACTGTAATCAGAACAAGAAAAAATCCTCCTTCACTCAATCATTCTTGCATATTTTCATTGGGTGTGCTAACAAGAGAGAATGAAGGAAAGGGAGAGTTTGGACTCAACTCTTGTATGTAGTTTTTAGAGATCGCGGATAATCGAGCAACAGAAGCGTCGATATCAGTCTCCCTAACCGTCCGATCCGGATCGATTGCTGCTGGTGTTCTGTTACTCCTGCTTCCTCCTCTTCCTCGTCCTCTCGAGCCGGAGAACATGTTTATGCTCAAAAATACTAGAATTTTTCTGACGATGCTGAGGTGAAGGTGCTTGAAAAAAATTAGAAGGTTGTGGTGAGACAAGAAAATGCTGACCGGGTATCTGAGAGATCGGACTCCCCGGGAAGTATAAAGCCCCGACGAAAAATACCCGACCCCTCCCGAAGCTGGCCTTACCCAGATCATAACCATCACATCCCAAACTGTTCAAACACCATCATCATCATCAAGACCAGCAGTCTCAACTGAAGACTTACTTCCGGCTCCAAAACGGAACGGCGACCATACTGTCCAGAATAACACTCACAGAATCAACGGAGGAATGGTCCGAGGACACGCTAAGGTAAGCAATTAGAGGCTATTAACTTTGATTATTCTTGGACCACCAACAGATTTCTAATCTTGTTTTTTTTTTTTTTGTAGGCGCAAGCACAGTTAAGTACCCCAGAAAACCGGCGAAAATCCGACGACTCTCCGCTCCGCTTTTAAGCCATAATACATAATCTGGACATGTGGACCAGGGCGATCCTAATATTATCGACCTGTGTGTGGTCATGTGTGAAACAGGGCGAAGAACGCGGCCAAACAGGGCTCGCAAAAGGGCTCCCAATTAGGCGCCCAACAAGCAGTCACCAAGGCAAGCCATTCCTTGCTCCTTGAAATGCGCTTCTTTCGAGGACATCAGTACCTCGAGTTCTGATCCAGTTCTTTCTTCTCTTTCTCATATATTTCATCAACCACTCAAATCAACCCAAAAAAAAAAATCTTCCTCGAAATCGGGTTTCGTCGATCATCTGACGGTTATTGTATCGCAAAATCTATATAATCGGTCGTAGGTCGGATGCTCGATATGTAAAGCTCCGACCCCCTCTTACAAACTTTTGGTCACTCATTATGAAGCTAAACATCCCAAGGAATCTGTTCCTACCGAAGAAACGTTCAAAACTATGAAATAAATTTCCTTCATCTCCTTTCTTTTTTTTTTATTATCGTTGTGGGGAATGGGAAATACTTGATTTCTATAGATCTTGTCAGTTTATGAAACCTTCGTGTTTATGTGTGTATGTCATTTTTTTTTTTTTTTTTTTTTTTTTTTCTGCTTGCGATCTCTTGTGAATCTTATAACTTTTTTTTTTTTAAAAAAAAACCTGGAAATCTAACTTTTTCCCAGCTATTTGATCAGATCTTTACCTCTCTCAAGGAGCGGTTTTTATCAATCAGGTGATCATCCTCTTTCTTTCATTTGTTCATTTGTTTGCACTCATGTGTTTGAATGACCAGAAACTTTGATATGTTGATTTAGTACAATTCATGTAAGAAGATACAATAATAATCTGACCACATACAACAACCAATAACAAAAAAGAGGGAGATAAATAAGAATACATTCAAAAAAAAAAACGAACTTTCTTTTCTATTCTATACATAGATTACATGATAACATGAAAAAATGATATGTAGAGGAAAATTATAATAAAAAAAAGTAAACATGAATGATAAGAGTAAAGAGAAGAGCAAAAGAAAGACGAAGATGATTTGAAATGTGACCGGAAAAAGAGAAGAAAACGAAAAACAAGATGAGGAGAAGAATCAAAAACGAGGCATTAAAAAGTCAACAAACAAATGAAGAAGAGCTACAACACCAAATCATAGAATAGAGACAAAAGTGAAAGAAGGCCGAGAGGTTAAGAGAGTCTGAAAGCGTTAAAATCATCGACAGTAGCCAAGCTACGGGTGATAACTTTAGGAGAAGGCTGGGCTTGAGTAGATAGGAGATTGTGGGTGGGAAGAGGGGGAAGAGGAGGATGAAGGGTGTTGAAAGCGATCTGTTTCTTGCAGAGGTTGGAGAGCGCTTTTCCAGGCCCGACGAAGAGCAATTGAACATCCGAATGAGAAGAGTCCGGTTCTGACTCTGAGTTTGAAGAAGGATGAGGAAGAAGCAGGTTATGATGTAGAAGCAGAAGTTCATTGACCGTTTCGGCCCACCACACGGGTCTACAGATCGAATCGGCGAGATGAGTTTGAAGGCTTCCGAGGTCCTCGCGGGTGCTGATGTACGCAGTCTCCATCACCGCCTCGCCCGAGTCGGTCTTCCTGCGCTTCCGTCTCTCCGTGGATTCTATGGATCCTACTGAGGAGGATCTTGTTGGCGAACAAGGTGAGAGGGGACAGTTTCGGGTAACCAGGATCGGCCGGTCCGGGACGGCGAACCGGACCGCGTTGACTGCGACCTTCATTCCTTGGGCCGCTGGACTCATGAATTCGCTGTGGAACGGAGACCTTTTGGTCACATCCACGTCCACACATCCGATCCAAAATCTCTCAGCTTTTTTTTTTTGCTGTGTGTGTATGTGTGTGCATGGAAATTAGGGAGTGGGGGGGGACTTACGAGCAAGGCAAGTCGGCGGCCCGATTGGCGATCTCGAGTTCGTTGAGATACGCACACGCGGCCAAGACGCCAGGCCGGGTGCCCGAGAGAACGATCTGGTTGCTCGAGTTGAAGCTAGCTATCTGGACTCGGTAAGCGCTCCTCCTGCGCTCATCGGTCGCATAGAGCATATTGAACCGCTCGACAAGCCCGATCAATTCCCGGTAATCATACGTCTTTTGGCCTAACGAGGCCTGGTATTTCTCGTTGATTAGTAAGGCTGACATCTGCGATTTCGTCCCCCCACCTCCTTCCTCTCCTTCTTCCTGTTCTCCTTCTTTTGTTGTTTTTAGTTTGGGGGCGGTTGTGGAGGCAGAGAGGCCGGCCAACCGCATCGACCGTTCGCTCAACAATCCATACAATCGTGTCAGATGGATCCCGCTCTTGAAGTCGATCGCGTTCGAGGCCACACAGGCCGTGTATTCGCCTGACGAATGTCCCGCGTAAACTTTGGCCATCTTCCTCACTGGAACTTTCCCTTCAACCTAAATGTATTAAAATAAATTCATCAGTTTCTATTTTTTTTCTGAGGTATGTATATGTAAGAGGTTAATATATACCTCTAATGTCCTCAGATAAGCCATGCTAGTGATTAGGATAGCAGGCTGTGCATTTGAGCATCTACTGAGTTCGTTTTGAGGGCCATGTAAGACGATATCGCGAAGGTTTGGCTGGTCAAGAGTAGGAGAGGCAGGAGGAGGAGAGCCGAGAAGAGCGGCCTGTTGAGGGGAGTATCCGAGGGAGAGGAAATGTTCGACGAGGTTGAGGGATTTCATCCATTCTTCGAACGAGGCGAGGTGGTCGAGTGCTTCAGTCCAGACGAGATTGAATTCTTTATGATCGATTAAGAAGGAACCCATGCCGATGTATTGAGAGCTAGAGCCGGGGAAACAGATCGCCAGGTTATCGGGACGGCCATTGCTCCCCAGCGGGTCTGGATGGGAGCTAGGATGATGGTGACAGGTCGAGGGGGAGAGCCAGGACTGTTCCATGCTGAGTCGGGCCTTCCTTGCGGGCGAGGAGATCGAGGTCGAAGGCGACTGTTGGGTGGCGGTGGGCCGGATGCGGAAGCTGTATGGGTGGTGGTGGTCTCGGATCTCGTAGCTGTCATGCCGGGATGGGTCCCGATACCGTTTGATGTATGCGGGGTCATGCAGGAAAGGGTTTTGGAGTAGCCCGGCACTAGAGTCGGTGGTAGCTGTACTGTGAGTCGTTGGATAGTGGTGGTACTCGTCTTCGGCTTCCTCTTTTGATGAGCTCTTGTCGGTCGTCGGTTTCTTCGGCCCAAGATTCCCGGTCGATCTCGATAGTCCTCGGAGGCTTGTCTGTGATTGTTGCTTGGGTTGTTGCAGTCTTGCGGCGATATGCCTCCGAGCCTGTCTGATGATGAGTTGTGCCATCTTGAAAGCGGCCGTCGAGGTTGTGGGAGAGGGTGGAGTGGCCGTGGCTGTGGCTGTGAGCTTCTGGTTCAATCCCGGAGGCGCTGACGCCGGAGGAGCGCTCCGGATTCGGCGCTCAATTACGTAAGCCTGGCGTGGACGGCGGCCTGGCCATCGGCATTGCACCCGCACCCGGCAAAGTCAACAGACGCAACATGATAACATCCTCATAGTAGGACAACGGTCAGCAAACACCCTCCCCTCTAACTTAACAACCTCACCAACCCAACACAAGTTTGACTCCAACCGCCGACTCCAGAACTCTCGGCTCGTCGAAACACCAGAAAGACTCAAGAAACATGAAACTCACTACCACCATCATCTACACCCTTGCCGTAACTCTTCTCCTTACGGGCTTCTCCAGAGCCCCGCTCCTGACCAGATGTGTCAGTTGTGGGTAACTCTTCTGGTAAAGATGTCGAAGGCACTCCCACGGTCGATCGATGTGGGTACATACTACGGGGACCAGTTACCCGACGGCTCGGTCTGTCAGAACAATCGGTACAAGAAAATCTTAAAACTTCACCATTGCATTACAACTGGCAGAAAGAAAAATTTGTCACTACAGATAATCTTAATGTATCAGGAAAAGAATCAAGTGCACTACATTACTAAGATGATGCAGATAACACAGTGTAAAGTAACAACCCAGTGTTGGCACTAGGGATCAATGTGGAAAGCACTTCTCCATCAATGTCCCAACCAATGACGATACCCCGGAAATATACAAGTTGTGCAAGCATCAATGGAAGCAGCTTGCAACTCCCCCTACTCCTACTACTTGCTCTACTCATCTTCACCATGTTTTTCCTGGCGCTTGATCTGCCAATGATTGACCATGCGCTCTTGCCATCACCAGCACTAAATCATCATTCTGATTATATCTCAGTGGGTAAAAAAACAATGCTCTGGAGTGGAAGGTTAATCAATGGGATGGCCCCTAATTCCTATCAAAATCTAGTTTGGTATGGAGATATGCAGCATTTGGGGATGCAGAGATACAGTTTTTACACTTATTGATCTCAGTGAGTCAATTTCTTTGCAGGAAGAACACCTCAGGGGATTGGTTTTATTTGACAGTCCTAGCTTGTGCACTTCAAAGAGTGCTTCACAAACTGTGGCAACCATTGTTGTCAGCTCCCGTCTCTTGTGTGACTAGGATAGAGATGGTTGCGGATAATCCGCCGCGGATATCCACTATCCGCTGGCGGATACCCGCCAGTGCCAGCAGATACCCGCCAGCAGGTGCAGATGCACCCTTCCCCCTGAAATACTGGCGGGTATCCGGGTATCACTTGGGATACCCGGTGCCAAGAGGCCACACTGCCGGGAGGAATCCCTCCCGGCAAGCTGGTTTTTAAACCAGCTCGTCGGGAGGAACCCCTCCCGACGAGCTGGTCTGTGTACCAGCTCGTTGGGAGGGGTTCCTCCTGGCGAGCGTCTACAGGCCAGCTTGCTGGGAGCGGTTCCTCCCAGCAAGCGTCCACCGGCCAACTCGTCGGGAGGAACCCCTCCCAGCGAGCTGGTTTTTAAACCAGCTCATCGGGAGGAACCCCTCCCGGCAAGCATCTACAGGCCAACTCGCTGGGAGCGGTTCCTCCCAGCGAGCTGGTTCTTAAACCAGCTCGCCGGGAGGAACCCCTCCCGGCGAGCTGGATTGTGTAGACGCTCACCGGGAGGAACCACTCCCAGCGAGCTGGCCTGTAGACGCTCGCCGGGAGGGGTGCCTCCTGACGGTGTGGCCTCTGCCCCTTTAGGCCGAGGGGGCTGGGTTTTTTTTTCTTTTTTTAAAAAAAAAAACACTCCTGGAAGAGCCTCGCCGCCCATTCAGAGGGCGGGTATCCGCGGGTATCCGCTGGCGGATGCGGATGTGTGTTTCTGCTGAAATCGTGAGTGGATATCCGCATCCGCGCGGATATCCGGATTCAATGCGCCCATCTCTAGACTAGGAGTTGATGAAAGGTTAGGGTCACACTATTGTTGTTTACACAACATAGTGGAAAGAGGTCGAACTCTAGTTGATTAATCAATGTAGTGGAATTAGCCGGTTCAATATACTAGAGTATTTGAAGGGCTGCTCCTTATTATTTATAAGGGACAACAGTGGAACAACTTCACTGCACCAGGCTTATGAGAAGAGAAAAGTAGTTACTAGTCTAGTTACAAAGGTTAACCATAACAGACTAGTACAAGATAGAGGGAATAGAGT